ACACATGATATGATTGCTTAAGGGAAGAAAGGTTTGTTTGGGTCCATGTTTTAGAGAGTTTCAGCTATGATGGCAGGAAATGCATGGCAGAGCAGGTCAAGCTCACAGCAACTGGAGTATATGGAGGGGGGCTGTTTGTATCATGTTGGAATAGCAAACAAGTATGAGTCCAGAACGGATGGTGGGTCTAACCATAAAGTTTTGCCCCTACTGTCCTACATCCACCTGCTCGGTTCCACAGCCTCCCAAACACACAACCAGCTGGAAATCAAAACACGAGCCTATGGGCACCAGACTCAGGCCATGGCAGGGACAGATGAACATTGTTCCAAGAGCGTATGGGATGATGCACTCTTAGGAAGGACTGCCAGCATCCATGACTCAGGGGAAGGGAAATATTCGGGGTGGCTAAGGGTCTGGACAACCGAGGCCATTGCTGACCCATGACTTGAGTCGCTCTGAGGAACACTCCTGCTGGCATAGCGTTGTCCTCACTGTCTAACCCTGACATCTGCCTTATACAAGGGTGTCAAGACCTCAGCCCTCCAGTGAACAAGGCCTTCTTGTCACAATCCGGGGACACTCATTTTGTCACATGTTTTGTTGGGCATGGGGTGTTGAAATTGAAGGAAGGTCCCTGGCTCCAAGAAACAAAGGAGAGAAGGACTTAGGCGATGGGCTAGAGGGTTTGGTTGGTAAAGTGCTTGCCATGCAAGCACGAGGACCTGGGTTTGCTGACCAGACAGTCCAGCCAATTTGTAAGTGCTAGATTCAGTGAAAAATCTTTTTGGGGTGTGTGTGTGTGTGGTTTTTCGAGACAGGGTTTCTCTGTGTAGCTTTGGAGCCTGTCCTGGAACTCATTCTTTAGACCAGGTTGCCTCAAATTCACAGAGATCCCCCTGCCTCTGCCTCCTGAGTGCTGGGATTAAAGGTGTGCACCACCACCTCTAGTCCGAGAAATTCTATCTTAAAAGATAAAGCACGAAGGGGCTACAGAGATGAAGAGAGAATACTCACTGCTTTTGCAAAGTGCCTGAATCAGATCCCAGCTCCCACACAGTTCACAACTGTCTGCAACTCCAGTTCTAGTGTGTTGGATGCTGTCTTTTGGTCTCTGCTGGCACTGGTATATATGCTGTGCACACACATTCATGCAGGTGTGCGCATGCACACACACACAGATAATTAAAAAAAACTTATTTATTAATTATGTATACAGGGTTCTTCCTGCCTCTATGCCTTCAGGCCAGAAGAGGGCACCAGATCTCATTACTGATGGTTGTGAGCCACTGTGTGGCTGCTGGGAATTGAACTCAAGACCTCTGGAAGAGCAGTCAGTGCTCTCAACCTCTGAGTCATCTCGCCAGCCCCCAGATAAATTTTTTAAAAATATATAAGGTGGAGTGATGGCTCAGTGGTTAAGAGCACTGACTAATCTCCCAGCACCCACTTGACAGTTCACAACTGTCTATAACTCCAGTTTCAGGGTATCCATGCCCTCTTCTGGCCTCCATAGGCTCTGCATGCACACGATGCACAGACATGCCCCTGCAGGCAAAATATCCATACACATAAAATACAATAAATAAAATACGAAGAAAGAAAAGGTGGAGATGATTGAGGAAAACACCTGGTGTTGCTCTCTGGTCTCCATATGCACACAAACACGTGTGCACCACCAAACATGCATGCACACGTGCGCATGCACACACACACACACACACACACACACACACACACACACCAAGGTGAATGGCCCTTGAGGGACAACAGCTGAGGTGTCCTCTGGCCTTCACATGCATGCACATCCTCACCTGCACGAATACCTGCACACACACTCACACAAGTTAGGGAATAATAAGATGCAAACTGGTAAGACTCAGCCTTCTCCTACGCTGGACTTGTGGTCTATTTTCAATAAGAACCCTCAGTGTATAGCAGCTTTTCTGGGGGTGGGAAAGAAGCTGCTTTTGTGAACATTTACTACGTGTCAGGTGCTCCTGTGACTCCCCTCATCCTGCTTTTACCATGTGCTGTGAGAAGACTTTGTCCTGTTCACAGTCGACAGCACCCAGCGAGGGGAAGCGACTGAACTCCTAGCCAAGGGTCTCTGTGCTCTTCCCATGGCCCTACCCTGCTTCCTCTGGTCCTCTGGGGACAGGGGCCCATGCTGCTTTGGGAGCTCTCTACAGAGAATCTTTGTGTCAGGGTATGGGCAGTCAAGGACTTACACTGTCCTCTGGGTCACAGAGTCTTCCGTGAAGAGAAGGGGCGGACCAGGGCCTGGTGGCCAGGATGGAGATGAAAGACCTTGAATGTAGTGTCCCCGCCCCCACTCTCTGGGCTGACAGCTATTTCCTCCTTCAGCTCACTCCTCTCCTGCCACTTGCCTGGTGCCCAGTCTTGCTGCTTTCAGGAGCTGCCAGCCTCCCTGGCTCAACCCTGTGGCTAGGTAAGGAGTCAGTCTCCCCAGGGGCTGGGCAGCCTTGGCGTCCTCTCAGGACTAGTCATGACGGGATGAGCTTAGGAGTCTGGCAAGGGCTGATGTCCAGAAGGAATGCTAGCTAGATGGTACACAATGGTGAGCTGTCCAACCCTGGTCACCATGCAGAGCCATCTTAGGTGTGGGGACAGGATCACACAGTGAGCTTAGAGAAACTGACAAGATTGCCCAGCTGGACACGGAGGAGCCAGAATCTAAGCTCAAGGCTTTGCAAAGCTAGGGTTCCCACCACAGCAGGATCCTAGCTGCTGGGCACCCCAAGGTCCTGAGTTTTGAGGATGTCTCCATGCAGCCTGAGGGATCAGACTGGGGTACCAAGGAGTACAGCAGCAGCGTCCTCTGAGCATTCCATTTGGTGTGGACACTGCAGCTGACAGGGACTGTCTCAGGGAAGAGGGAGGCACGCCTGCCTGCTGGGAGGAGAGCCTTAGTCTCCCTCCACAGCACTGGCCCGGTTTCTGTGCCTCTCTGAATCTGTTTCCTCTTCTAGAGAGCTACTCTCATTGAATTCCTATGAGAGTCACTGCTCAGTAGATGCTAAAGTTTAGAAAGAAGGATCAGGAAGAATTCAGAGAGAATTCAGAGATTGAAGCTCTGCCTGCTCCCGCTGACCTAGCTCCAAGAGGTATTCTGTCAGGGAAATTTTAGCTTGGTATCCCAGAACCCCACCCTAGGAAGGACAGTGGTGTCTGGAACAGAGTAGATTTTTCCATTCTGGCCACTCTTTCTGTTGGGAAGAGAAGTTCTGAAGTCCCTGGTACCCTCCTCCTCTTTCTCTATCCTTACTTGCATCCTCACGGCAGGCTGAGGACCAAACAGCCTCTCTTCCACATGTCTGTGCTGGGTGGCTCAACCAATGCTTTAAACACTCGTGTCTCAGTTTTCTCATCTGAGGGATGGAGAGAGACCTGGCACATTTCTTCCAGAGCTACAAGAAAAAGCCTTGGTTGGAAGATCTACCACATTCCACGGAGGGTCATGGGTGCTTGGAATCACCCTGAGTTCCCACACCCTGCTTTCATTTCCTCCATTCTGCAGGGAGTATAAACCTGATTCCCTCAGCCCTCCCTGACCCAGACTTTGTCACAGGGCCCTGGGGTTCTCCATGAGGCTGTGAGCATGCATAGAACCTGGCTTTTCCAGAGCACCTGAGTTATTGCTCAATGTGACTATTGTTCCAGTGTGGGAATGAATGAATGGGGATGAGTTTTCTGGAATAGACAGGACTGTCGCTGCCCTCCCTGGGTCCCCAGAAACCCCATGTGATAGTTCCTCCTGCCAGGTCTCACGCTTGTCTCTCTTATCTTATTTCCTCTCCTTCTATCAGAGGAGGGGCCAGTTCCCCTGATCTCATTCAATCAGCACATCCAAGCAGTCACCTCTGAGATGACAGCAGCTCTCTAGGAGGAACTGCAGGGAGGTAAGGCCTGGAGTGCTGGACGGCACAGACCCCCATCCCATAGGAGGGGCCACACCCATCCCTCTGTGTTCTGGGGACCAGGAGAACGAGTCCTGTCTGGTCTGACCTTTGTGATCTTGGACAAGTTCTTAATATTAGTCACAATGGTATTGATACAGCGCCCGCTTTCCACCAGTTCCCTGTGTGTTTGTGTGTGAGTGTGTGTGTCTGTGTGAGCCAGAGGTCAACCTTCCATGCTCCTTAGCAGCGATCACCTTAAAAGATTTATTTTTAGTATTTTAAAGTACGTGTATGTGCATATGAATGTAGGTATACGTATGTGTGTGCGTCAGTCAGATGTCAACCTTGAGAGATGTCGCTTAAGGAGCAGTTCACCTTAAAACAGTTTTTATTATTTTAAAGTGTGTGTGTGTGTGTGTGTGTGTGTGTGTGTTTGTGGGTGTGTGAATGCAGGTGCCTGTAGAGGCCAGAGGAATTGGGACCCCTGGAATTAAGTTATAAAGGCAGTGTGAGCTGCCCAACATGGGCAGTGGGAATCAAACACTGGTCCCCTGGAGATGCAGTATGTGTTTTCTGTGGAGCCATCTCTCCAGTCCCCTATCTTGTCTTTTTGAGTTAAGGTCTCCGGGACCTGGGTTTCACTGATGAGTTTACTCTGGCTGGTCAGTGAGCCCCTAGGATCTACCTGTCTTTACCTCTCCAGCCCTGAGATTACACTCATATGCCACCATGCCCTTCTTTATACCTGGGTGCTGGGATCAAACTCAGGTCCTCTTCTATTTTTCCCACCCACCCCACACCCTTTTGAATAGTTCACATTTTCTTGTTCCAGTAGTCCTACAAGCTAGGGACTGTTGGGAGAGACACCATGTTAGGGGGACACAGGTTCAGGAAGGCTACACTTGGCTTGCCCAAAACTGCATTGGGGGAGAAGGGCAGCTGGAATGTTAGTTCCTTGCCTAGTTCAGCTTCACTGATTCCTAGTGTCCATCCTATTGCTAGGTATACCGGCAACTCTGAAATAGGTTCGTCTCTTGCCCAGGCTGCAGGCTCAACCCTCCTTTCTTCCACCTCGCCATGGCCAACATCACATTGAAGTCATTCTGTCCGCTCTTAGAGGAGATGATCCAGCTTCCAAGTCACAGCAACTCTAGCATCCGCTATATTGACCATGTGTCAGTGCTGCTGCATGGGCTGGCTGCGCTCCTGGGTCTGGTGGAGAACGGACTCATCCTGTTTGTGGTGGGCTGTCGCATGCGTCAGACGGTGGTCACCACCTGGGTGCTGCACCTGGCGCTGTCTGACTTGCTAGCCTCCGCCTCCCTGCCCTTCTTCACCTACTTCCTGGCGGTGGGCCACTCGTGGGAGCTGGGTACCACCTTCTGCAAGTTTCACTCCTCGATCTTCTTTCTCAACATGTTTGCCAGCGGCTTCCTGCTCAGCGCCATCAGCCTGGACCGCTGCCTGCAGGTGGTGCGGCCGGTGTGGGCACAGAATCACCGCACGGTGGCGGTTGCGCACAGAGTCTGCCTGATGCTCTGGGCTCTGGCGGTGCTCAACACAGTACCCTATTTCGTGTTCCGGGACACCATCCCGAGGCTGGACGGCCGCATCATGTGCTATTACAACATGCTGCTCTTGAACCCAGGGCCCGATCGCGACGCCACGTGTGACTACCGCCAGAAGGCCCTGGCGGTGAGCAAGTTCTTGCTGGCCTTCGTGGTGCCTCTGGCCATTATCGCCATGAGCCACGTGGCCGTGAGCCTACAACTGCGCCACCGCGGCCGCCAGAGGACAGGCCGCTTCGTGCGCCTGGTGGCAGCCATCGTGGTGGCCTTCGTGCTCTGCTGGGGGCCCTACCATGTCTTCAGTTTGTTGGAGGCGCGTGCCCATGCTGTCCCCACGTTAAGGCAGCTCGTCTCACGCGGGCTGCCCTTCGTCACCAGCCTGGCTTTCTTCAACAGCGTTGTCAATCCGCTGCTTTACGTGCTCACCTGTCCGGACATGCTGCACAAACTGAAGCGTTCGCTGCGTTCAGTGTTTGAAAGCGTGCTGGTGGAGGACAGCGACTTGAGCGGTGGGCCTGGCAGCCGCCGCCGCCGCGCCTCTTCCACTACCACAGCCTCCACGGTCCTGCTGGCTGGCCGCCTTCCCCGACTGCATCCTGCCCGGCTGATTAGCTGGATGCGGGGTAATGGTGCAGAGCCCCAGCAGAACGTTCCAGCGCAGGCCCAGAAACAAGGCTCACTGAACCTCGCCCTGAGCTCCACCTCCGATTAGACCAGCACAGCCCGGGGGGCACGCCAACACACCCCTGGCATCTCACCATACACCTTTGAAAATGTACATAGCCAATGCTAGGCCCAGCTCATCTCTCTCCCGGGCAGGGCCCAGGGAACCAGTTTGTGAACTAAAAGCGGTCTTTCTTAAACACTTTAATCTTGCAGCGTGGAGCTGGGAGAGGATCAGCAGGGTGCAGAAGTGGCCTTTGGAGGCAAGCGCTACCTGGTTCCTGACCTCCACGTTTTTACATTTTTAAGAACGGAAGTACTTGAACTGCCTAGGGATCTCGCTAGGCTAACAGGATGAGATTTTGTACTTCTAGTGCCTCCCAGGCAGCTTGCCCATGGACAACTGGAGTCACACAGGTTAAACCCACAGCCCACATCTCAGAAGGCGCTGCTTTGTGGACAAGGAGGAAACTGCCGCGAACAATGGTGTATATGGGGTTACAGTGGCGGGAGGGTTAAGCAGTTTCCGGCTTACCACCTTCACTTTCAACGACCTCCCCACTGTGGTCTGATGCTTTTATTACACTTTGTTGGTTGTGTGATAGGTGTGTCAACTCCAGCTCAGGGATCTAACTGCTTAGTTTTAGAGCTGCCGCCCCGCCAGAGGCTACATTCCATCCTTCAGCATCTCAGGTTCAACTCTACCCAGAGAGAACATCCTCCAGCTACCCTGGGTATCACAGCTGCCTCAGGACAGGGCCCAGCAGCTAAAACTTCCAATCCACAGGTGTGTGTGGGGGGGGCACTCTGCACCAGCCACGGACTTTCCACAGCACTTCTTCTAATGTCTACCATGGAGGGACAGCTCGACTCATCTCTACATTCCAGGGAAAGGGGAGTGGCTGTCAGTAGCTGGAGGATGCGAAGAGCAGACGAGACATTCTCAGGATCTCCTGAACCACCAAGGCCAGGCTGGTTGTCAGTTCTCAGTGCCAAGCAGGCCTCAAGCCCGCGGCAGGTGCACAAACTGGATGGTAAAATGTCACCCTCCACTCCCCCAGAGCACATCTGTCAGACCATGCATTTCCATTGTTTATTAGGAGAATGAAAACCCAATGGGGCAGGGACTTGTCTTTCTGGAAGCCCAGATTGTACTTGTGCAGACCATTAATAAACACTTCCGTGGAAGCCCAGGTGGGCACGGCTCAAGTCCTAAGGTTTCTACAGTCCAATGTAGGAAAGGGGTACTAGAGAGGAACCCAGTTCCCTGCAACCTCCCCATTTACAGGAAGGGGCAGGCTTCAGTCATCAGAGGGGACAGACGAGCAAAAGTCACAAGTGATCAAGGTTGTTGGCCTTTGAGAAAATGGAGGAGCTGACATCTGACATTAGGCCTCCAGGTGAGGGCTAGACTCAGGACCCCGAGGCGGAAGTTAGTTACCAGCTCACTGGGGAATAAGTCACAGTTCAAGATCTTTTGTTGTTATTGTTTGAGACAGGGCTTCTCTAGCCCTGGCTGTCCTGGAACTCATTCTGTAGACCAGGTTGGCCTCAAACTCTGAGATCTGACTGTCTCTGCTTCCCGAGTGCCGGGATTTAAGACATGTGCCACCACCCTAGCAACAGTTCAAGATCTTAAGGCACTTTGGAAAAGACCTAAAAGGAGATGGAGAGAGTTAAATCTCTCCTGAGACCCTGTGAGGTCCTGGGTTCCCTCTGGGCTTCACTCCCTGTCTTAATGCGACAGAGTTGGTGTGCTGGCCCCAGGAGAGATGTCTGACAGTGGCCTGAGAGGTGGCTTGTTGTGGCTCTTGGCTTGTGGAGGCCTCCGTGCCGTCCTGAGCTCAGACCTTGGCCACAGGCCGCTGGGGTGGCTCCTTCTGGAGCAAGGCCAGGGTGTCTCTCTTTTCAATGGAGCGCAGCTGCTTCTTCTTCGCCTTCTTGATTTTGGCAGGGTTTCGGATCTGGGGAAATAGGAGGAATCAGTATAGCTGAGGACTCTTCTCTGGGGAAAAGGAAGGCAGGGGCCCAGGACTGCAGCAGGACAGTGGATCATGTAAGGCAGGGAGCCCAAGCACCTTACTGGCCTCTTTCACCTGGCCACACCCACATCTCTTGGATGGGTGTACTCACCACTTGGACAATCTCAGCCTTTCGCTCATTCTCGAGGCGGCGTTTCAGGTTCTCTGCCCGGCGTGCCTTCTTCTCCTGTAACACACAAAAGGAATCTCAGGCCCTGGTGAGTGAGAACTGGTACAACCAGGAGACCCCTGCTTAGTCTCCAGGCTATTCTACGGGGTGAGTGGAGGCCTACGCATTTCTGGGGAAGAACAATGGTACATTACTTATCTTGTGGGCCTGGAGCTGAGCCTACTGTGGCAAGAGTGCCTGGCTCCAAATTAAAAAGGTGTGGGCAGAGATGTGGGTGCCTTCCCACCCAGAGGTCCCATGTACTAGCTGCCAGGGAGAAGGCTATATATAAGGTTCCCTCTTTCATGCAACTTTCCCAGAGTTCCTTCTGCCCAGGCTCAGGTGTACCAGAATGAGGATGCAAGGTCAGAATATAGCTGGGCTCTGCACCTGGTCCCAGGGAGGGCTGGGCAGACTGAGCTGTCAAAAGGCTCTGGAGGAACCTGGTCCAGCTTGAATTTTCATTTGGATACTCCCTAATTAGGTTATTGTGGCTGAGTCTATGTCTCCACTTCCTCACCTCACAGTAAAGTTGACCACAGGCCCCACCTCACCAGACTGACTTGAGAAGTAAGTGTGCAATCAAGGCTTGGAATAGTACCAGCTCTGGGGACATTCAGAGCCTTTTCTGGGGGTGTGAAGTCTGGGGTTTCTTAGCTATGCTGCTATTGTATCCCAGCAGGGCTAGGACAGGGATGGTGGCTCCAACATTAAATGGTATATGGTCAGGGCCTTTTGTGACCTTAACAACTTTGAGTCATCAGGGTACCCTGGGCCCTTGGAGAGGAAGTAACCTTTCCTTCTATGTATCAGGAGGCTGGGAGGATGCACATCTCCAGTTGTTCGTGAGATGGCAACTGTTTTGCCCAAGAGGAAGCCAAGGCTGCACAGGAAGGGATGACGCCTCAGTAACAGATGGGTCTGGAGAAACTCAAAGTAAGGTGGAGGGCCTAGTGGCTGGCCCATCCCTCTTCTCAGTGGCCAAGCTGGGTCTACAGATCTGAGACAAGCTGCTTGACTCTGGATCAGTGCTCCTTCTATACCTTGGGCTCACCAGACTATAAGTGACACCTGAACTTAATCCCGGGGACAGTGCTGCTGACCTTGCTTACTGAGTACTGCCTGTTGAAGTGACACTGGGACTCTCCCTAAGGCTTCCTGGAGGCGGAAGGTGTTAGAAACGAGCCTCTGTGGTGCTGGGCCCAAGACCTTGTGCGTGCCAGTCAAGTGCTCTACCACTGAGCTACGTCACAGGCACAAACCTTAACGAGGACATTTTTGGTTATGAGATGGGGGCTAGGGAAGTGAATTGAAAGGGAAGTATAGGGACCACCCATGGGCCAGTGTGTAGAAGTCTCTTCTAGAAAGAGCAGATTTGAGATAAGCTTTTCCCTCATAAGCAGGTCTCAGAGAGGGGTTGAGTTCACCAAATTGAAAACTCCTGCCACTAAGATGGTTTGCTGGCCTCCATCTTGGGCACCTCATTCTACTTCCATGTCTCCTGCATGCCCCTGAGCCAGAGATTTTAACTGGACGGCAGAGTGGGAATCTCACCACGGCCCCAGACTACACTTTGTCCCCCTGGGGCCCTCATCCCGGAGCTCTAAGTCATACTCCCACAGCCCTTGTCTGCTGAGCATACATGTATTTGGCCTCTGCAATCCCTACTTGGCCGGATGTCCTGTTACCTGCCGGCGCCTCTGTTTCTCCTCCTCTAGGTGCCGGGCGAAGTCCTTGGTCAGCTTCCTCTCCTGTCGTTCCTTCATTTTCCGCTGCCAGGAGGTACGCAGGGGCTTGTCCTGAACCATCTGGGAGAACCTTAGCAGGAGAAGAGGCACTTAGGGGACCACTGTGATGCTGCCTTCACACCCTGCTCTCACTGGGCTCTGGGTCTGCTTCCCGTCCTCTCCTGCCTGCCTGGCATTCAGCCTTCTATAGAAACTTAGGGTGGACGGGCCGTTAGGCATGTGGCTCTGAGGTCAGCCTGTGCTGTCTATTCTAGAGGAACACCAAGACCTTGAGAGTCTTCTTCCTGAGTATAGGTTGGGACTTGAACCTTTCTGTACCCATAAAGCCTCAACTGTGAAGTTTTATTGCCACCAAACATGGTAACCTGTGAAGATGAGATGCTTGCTCCCTAGAGGGGTGTGGTTTTAATTCCAAACATCAAGAACAAGGGGGCTTTTTTGTAACAATTCTGATTCTTTCTTAGATTGTGGGGTGTCAAGGTGGTGGAGTGGGATTAGGGGATTTCTGACAAGTCTGCCTTCTCTGAGAGTAAAATGTTCTAGAGCCATAGAATAGGCTGACTTCTGTAAGGACATATTTAGGGTGTGCTTAAACACTCTAGGAGGTAAAGTGCAGGGAAACGAAGCTGGGCCAGGAAATGTGAGAACTGGGAAGCTGGTGTTGAGACTCATAAAACTCAGCTCTTCCCTTTCTGTACAGTTCAAGAGTTCTGGGACAAAATTAAAATAAAATGAAAACAAGTCATGCTCAGTTTCCCCTCAGTCACTTGCCAAGCCTGCTGAGTGTCCCTTGGGCCTTCTTTTCCCCAGAACTCTAAGACTCCTCAGCAGACTGTTCCAGTGTCCTTCTGCTTCCTACACTTCAGCCTTGACTCCTGCAGGAGTTCCTATTTACCTGTCTATTACAGGGTCTCTTGAGGAAACCCTGGCTGTATGCTGGGCAGTCAGTTCCTGACCACATGAAGGTCAACACTGCTTTTCTGAGCTGTCTGCTCCCTTCCTAGGAGTCTGACACACAAAGTCTGGAACTTGGCCCCAGGCTCATTTATAAGCAGTCTGGTTCTGCCCCGCCCCACTGCACTGTTAACTTCTGATATCCTCCCCTGCCAGG